GCTCTAGTTGGCCTGAAAAAGAGACAAAAATTAGACTTTCGAGCACTGCTGTGTTAAGGGGAGGTGCCGCAGAAGTGGGATTTCAGCCCACCTCGTGGCGATCGATCGATGTTCTTGCTAACAAGTCCTTCTGGCGTGAGACAACATAGTAGCTCAGAGAAGAGAGACACACTTGCTTATCTCTGGTTATTGATAGCCATTTTAGGACATAGTTTAGCTAGAGGGCCACTACATTAATATGCTGAGAAACCAAGAATCAACGTTTTACGTGGACACTCTTTTCAAAGACTACCAATAATCGCGGTCACTGCAATGATGTCTTTATGTGCCTCTAATCATAGGCGTCAATGGCCGCGCAGTTGCAGCCTCTACGCAAGCGAATACTCATGGAATTTCCTTTATTACAAAAAAAGTGATTCTCTTTTGGCAAAACTAAAAGTGTTGGCATTCTAAGAAAAGGGAACATCAGTCCAAGTTTTTTAGTTTTGTTAGAACGAGATTACGAGGATTGCTTTAATGAATGGCCTAAAAGTTGTTAATGTCAGAAGCGCAACCAGTATGACCATGCGAGAATATTTAATTACAGATCGTTCTATCAACTTTTATTGAGTGATACTCGTCGTCTGGCTCACCCTTTCGCAAGCGCATCGCGTGGCGTAAATACGGAATGATAAGTAAGGTTTGCATTGTTTGCTATAAGATATGGTTCGTTAATAAATGGTAATGTCTGCATATGAACAGAAAAGAAAGTCTTTTGAGTGCACGAACTCCACACTTGTTTTGATATTCGAGTTCTCATTCCATAACTTTATCAGTTTCAGGGTAACGAAAATCGGTATCGTCAGCTTGATTACATCATTCTCCACTTATTCCAAGAGTATAAAGAAGACACATGCACCTAATCAATTATCTTGGTTAAATCGATATCAGTTTCAATATGATAAAATTGACGATAGCCTCTGCGATTGGATTCTCACATAACGTCGAGACACATGAACTTTCATTCTCAAGCATCTCATAGCTTGGGGAGAATAAGAACAACGAAAAAGAAGTGTTTACATACATCTTGAACATATTTAGGGTTTGACTCCGCGCTTTCCAAATTCAGAAAAATTACAAAAATAGTGCTTATTTCCCATATCAAAAAGCATTGAATATGCTAAAATGTTACAAAGAAGGGGTTCATTTTTAAAAAAAGAAGTTAAACTCAGCAGTACCGGATGACACATGCAAGCCGTTGTGGTTACGATTTTGATATAACCGACTTCATTTCATGGATTTGGTGTTGAAGAAATTGAAAAATCTCGCTTTATATGATACTAGCTGGCATACCCGGCTTCGCTCGGCTTTTTATATTTTCTGCGCTGCTTTTTGCATCTGACTAATTCATCTCATCTAATTTTGCGTGAATTGCTCACATTTGTGTAGGCATAATTTAACATTTGTCAAATAGTACTTGAAAATGAGGGTATGTACTATGTGGTTGTAAAAAGTATACAAAAAGTGCAGCTATCTTGATAAAATTGGACAGCATTCGGCATAATGTGATAAATTGGGTTTAATTCTGAAACTTTAAGGTTGGGAGTGAGACCTGGGACTTACTAGCAATAAATGTACCCGCTCTGCATTTAGAACTTTTTTTAAATTGATTGTCAAGAAAAGACTGCGTAACTTAGTTATTCTAGTCAACATCATTTTCACCCCGCCTTCCATTGATTCAAATGAGCAACCACATCGCATTGACGCACTTCCATTTCAGTAACCAACTGGTTTGAAGGATCTTGCTTAGTCTG